AGAGAGAGAGAGAGAGAGAGAGAGAGAGAGAGAGAGAGAGTAAGAGCCGTCACCGGGGTTGCCGGTGACACGGACACTCGATCGACTCGATCGAAGCGATCTTTTTTATCTCGTTGAATATACATATATATATAAAGTATAAATAAAAAATAGATATATATAAAAGTATATATATATATATATATATATATATTATACATAAAACAATGGCTCCTATAACTTCTCTACAGCTTCGTTGAAAGGCAGAAAAGAGTAACAGTATGCAGGATACGGTTAGTCGCTAAAGAAAGTCGCTGATAGTGTAACGTTAAGCGCGTTTTGAGGAGAGCGTGCGAGTGCGTGCGAGAAATGTAAAAGGGTGAGAGAACGAAGAGGAAATAAGAGGTATGGAAGAGAGGGTGAACATCCCCGCGGATTCTCTCCGGTGTTTCGGGCGAGAGAACGTGGCTGTGCGAATCGTACGTACGTGCGTGCGACCACGCGCGAGAACGACGAAAAGAATTTTTACCGTTTACGATTAATCTGATTTGTACGTCGCGGCAAATGGCGACTGAGAATGACGCCGAGATATTTAAGCAATCGGCCACCTCTAGAAGGTACGGGGCACGTTTGTTGTTAAAAAGAGTTAGCCCTCTTCTTTTCGGGATGAAGAAAGAGAGAGAGAGAGAAAGAAAATACGCTGTTAGATATTTTCTCCGGAGCAGAGGAGATCCTAAACGCGAAGGTTTTGAAGGACCTTAAACAGGAAAAAAATTAAGACGTCTCTGTAACGTCAAAAAAATATTAGGATGTTTTCTCAAGACGTCTCCGGATATTCGGGCGATTGGGGCGTCTCAGAAGTTCTGGAACGTGTTTGAAAAAAATAATCTGAACATTTTCGGACGCTTCCGGACGTCCAGGGTATTGCGGTAGAAAGAGAAAGAGAGGGCTTGTCTCAAGGCATCTGCAAAATCACTCGTCACGCCCGTTCGCTTTCTAGAGCGCGACGCACCGAAATTCGGCGACGTAAACTCCTCGAACGCGAGTAATTATTTTTTTAATCGGGCAGAACATTCCGCTCTCTCTCTCTTTCTTTCTCTCTCTCTCTCTCTCTCTCTCTCTCTCTCTCTCTCTCTGCCTCTTTCTCTCTCTCTCTCTTTCGCTCTCTTTCGCCACGGGCCCGTCAGGAGAGATAGAGAGAAGAAAGAAAGAGAAAGAGAAAGATGTACATAGCGTAAACCGTAGAGCGTTAGAGTGCTGACGGAAGAATGTACAACAGAGAGGTAGATAGGTAGATAGAGAAGTAGAGGAGAAAAAGAAAGAGAGAGAAAAAAGTGAAATATGCGTGCATGAGAGATTGAAAGAGGAGGGATGCGAGGACACGAGGGAATGTTAGACATGTAGATTGTGCGTATAATAGCGGAACGTTGTAACGTGGTAGCGACAGATTCCGGAAGTCATTTTCGGGAACAGAACTGAGTAGCGTTACGCGTCGTGGGCGCGTGTTTCATGCGTGAATCTAACGAAAGAAAGAGAGAAAGAGAGTGAAAGAAGAGAGGAACAAGCGCGAGTGCGTAGACGTAATTTGTAGTGCGCCGAAGAAAATGTTTCCTTTTTCCAAGTTCTTGAAAGTACGTTTCTTTTGTTTTGTTCTCTTCTCGAACGACACTAGACTGGTTGGAATCATATCGAAACTCCGTATCCGTCGACTGTCAGTCGAGCTTAACGTGAGCGCGATGAATAAAGGCGTGTAATCGTCTCGGATATCGCGAATAGTCGGGAGAAAGAGGGTGAGGAAAAGTGAGTTTCGGCGACTGAAGAATCCACCTCGTGTATTGTCGAAGTGAAGTAGACGTTGCTCTCCGCATCGAGACACATGCGATTAAACATTAGATACGAGAGACAAGAGGAGAGTGTTTTGAGGCTTCGCGGCACTTCCGAAGCGCAGAGCCGGCCGGGGAGGTCTCTATCCGTGGGAAATGTGCGGACATTTGGCCGGAAAATTGGCATTAAAAGTTCGTTCGCCTTCAGATCTATCGCCCTCGCGAAGCGAAACTAAACGTCTCTGTCTTTTGTAACACTTACTTACGTACTTCTTGGGGGAGGACCGATTTAGGCTTTCAATCGCGAGGACTGAGAAGTATGTAACTAATTGCCAAAGGATAGACGTCTTATTTCTAATAAAAGCTGTATCAAACTGAAAACTTCAATTTCCGTTTTCCTTCGCGAGTCACTCGCGCTTCTCACTAATAACGATCTCGAACTCTTGGTCGGCACTGTAAGGTATCGTCGACATCGTCGGTGAAATTCCCCGAGGTAATAATAATACGTAACGTAGATTTTTTCGTCGGTTGATTTACGATTTCAAGTCCGATCGTCGCGGCGACATGTACCAAGCGCGTATCGACGGGGCGCTCTGCTCGGGAAGTTTCGGATTAGCGACACGCACTTAACACAAAGACGTTTGAGGCAACTTAATTATAATTCGATTAAGCGTAAGAAGAGCACGACGTTGACCAAATAAAATCCCGCTAGGGTTTCAACGCAAAACCGACACAAAGGATTAATACGGCAGCAATACATCGCATCGTTTGCGAATTGAAGTGATTTTTGTTCTCATTCGATTTATCTTGCACATTGATCCAAAATGCGAGAAAATATTGATCGATAAACCATTGAGCCCGGTATCACGAATCGAGAAGAAAAAAAACGGGAATAAAATAATAGTCGCCGAGAAA